GCCAACTGAGTTGGTTGAACAAATTGTAATGCTGGAAGCTCTCACTCATCTATGCCAAGAAATTTGGGGGAGAGGTCCCTACCCAGATGACTAGAAAAAAATCCATATTTGTGTCTATTCTGAAGACAGTTGTTGTATATTCACAGGCAATAACAAATATTCAAACTTGATTCAGAAGAGAATATAGAATAAGGGATACATTGCTGATGTTGGATAGATCTTGGCTGTTATCAGAGAATACTGGGGAAATGTTTGTTGCTATTTGTTGCTGTTAGGTGCCGTTTAATCATTTATCTCGTAGTGACTTTATTCATGGCATAAGAAAACACTTTCTGGTCCTGTGTCATCCTCACAACTGTTGTTACATTTGAATCCACTGACTCTGGCACTGTGTCGATCTATCTTATTAGGGATATACTTGGTTTAGGTTGGCCCACCCCTTTACCAAGCATGATATTCTTCTCCAGTGATTGATCCTTACTGACAACCTGTCTCAAATATGACAGACAAAATCTCACCTTCTTGGTCTCAAAGAAGCATTCTGCATTCACTTCTAACAAGACAGATTTGTGTACCCTTCTGCCAGTCCATGGTATTTTTATCATTTTTCTTCAGCACCATAATTCAAATGTATCAATTCTTCTCAGGTCTGCCTCATTCATTAACTTTCACATGAATATGTGGAAATTGACAATACCATGGCTTGAGATAGCCACACCTCATTCTACAAACTGATAACTTTGCTCTTGAATACTTTAAATAGTCTTGTGCACCAGAATTGCCTAATGTAATACGTCTTCTGATTTCTAGACTATTGCTTCAATGAGTGGTGATTATGCATCAAAGTAAAATGAAGTCTTTGACATCTTCAATTTTTTCTCCATTTGTCATAATGTTTTGTACTGGTTCAACAGTGAGGAGTTTTGTTTTCTTAATTTTGAGGTGCATCCCATGTTGAAGGCTATGTTCTTTCATCTGTATCAATATTTTAAATCCCACTGTGAGGACTTGTGTTTACATTGAGGTACTAGCTATACTGAAGGCTGTAGTCTTTAATCTTCATTGAAAAATATTTTAAGTCTTTCATCTTTATCAGTAAATATATTATGTCCTCTTCACTGTCAGCAAGCAAGGTTGTATCATCTGCATATTGCATATTGTTAATGAGTCTTCTTCCAAACCTGATGCTATGTTCTTTTACTTACAATCTAGCTTTCCAGATTATTTGCTGTAATACTCTCAATAAGATGCATTGACACAGTGGCTGAAACACTGGACTCAAACATAGCAAATACAGGGAGCATGGCAGTGTTGTGATCTGTTAGGCATAGGGTCACTGTGAGTTGGAAGCTACTTGACAACCCTAACTGCTGTGATTTCTGTTTTATTAACAAATGCAAGCACATAATTTG